TATAATAAATAGATTTAATGATATTACAATTTAAAAATTTTAAACGAAGTGGTGCAATAATTATGGAAGTCACTGTAATTGTAATAGGTAAGAAAATTTAATAATTTTAAACTTAATAACTTATTAATTATTTAAAAAATTTTAATTAGGTTGGTTAATGATTTAAAATTTTTTAAAACTAAAATAAAGCAATAGCTCCATTTGTTTATTCAAGAATAGTTTATCAGGAAAAAGGACTCCTCTTGATATCAAATATATCAAATGAAATAGAACAAATTTTTATTGAAAGAAATTGTGAGGGAAACATTTATTTCAGACTTTTTGGATGGCTTATGAAAATGTGAAAAACATCTCTCACCATTCATTATTTAAAGCAACATAATGTTTGATTCAAGATTTATTCAATCTAATATAGCAAATGTTAATTTGACAAATTAAAAGGGTTTCATTTTCCTACTGATAATTTGATTCAAGAATGGGTCATTTATAGTGGTTTCAATAAATTAGATGAGGAATTTGTAGACTTAAATATATATTGGCGTAGTAAAAGACATTTATTACCGGAACTTAGAGTGTATTAGCATTAGATAGAAGAGTGGCACTTAAAAAAAAAGAAAACATTCAAATGCTTAATTTTCTTACATTAATCTAAATGATTATTAATGAATTTTTTGAATGGTTAATTGTTATATTTTATATTTTACATTTATTTACGATAATAATTTTGGTCAATTTACTAAAAATTATAAAGAAAATAATTTTTTTTTATCTGATTTACCTCGAAATGGAAACGCGATAAAAATCGAAAAATCACGTGCGATTTTGGGCTGTCACGCCAACACCCTAATCACGGGGTGGTCCCTGCAAAATATAATTGAAGAAATCGAATATTTTTTACTTTTAACCCTTATAATAATACTTCTTGCGAAAGAATTTTTTTTTTTATGGTTTTATGATAAAAAAAAGCAATGACTCAGCATAAATAACCTGGAATCTTTTTTTTAAAAAATAAAAATTCATCATTATAATTTGTTAAATATGCATAAAGAATATAAATCTTTATCAGATACTGTATCGGATCCGTCTACGTTGCAAAGTGATGAACTCAACGAAGCTGAAGTCATAGAGAGTCCTGAAACTCCCTCAAATGAAGGTAACACCGTCAAGCGACGAAGGCAAACAACGGTTAAACCTAAGGCTGCGCCAGTTGAAAGACCACGTAGAAGTATTAGGCCCGTTGTCCCTTATGGTTCGGAAGCAACCGAATCAAAGGCTCGTAACAAGAAGCCGATCGAAATCTCACAAGGTTCTGGGCTTTCCCTCAGTCAAATTCCACATGTATTACGTGCGATTGACAAAATGAAGACAAGCGACGACGTCTTGAAAGGGCTACATAAGCTTATTTACGGTCGAATGGGTTCAAAGCATGACATTAAAAATCATATTCGTGCTTTCTCTGGATTTAAGATCCAAACACCACTCGACGAAATCGTTCTTAAAGAAAAGCTTGAAAAATGGAAGATCGCAGGGCTTAAAGACATATGTCATCTTTTTGGCCTTAAGTCATCTGGCGATAAGCAAAAGATTGTTGATCGCGTTTATGACTTTTTAAAGAATCCTCGTGATATGACTGCTCCCAATGAAGAGAATGGTAAAGGTAAGGGCGGAAAAAAGAAGAAATCAGCCACTATAAAAGCAAAGACTATTATAATTAGAAAAAAAACGGGAAGGGATATGTTTTATGCGGTACAAAGATCGGTATATAAAGAAAAAGAGGAAAATCTTTCCAAGACCCGAACAGAAATCGACAGTCTCCTGGCCGAGGCATGGAAAGGGTTATCCGAGGAAGATAAAAAGTCATATTCAGAAAAAGCCACAGATACAAATATGACAGAGCCTCAACAAAAAAGACAGGTACAAACAATATCATACATTTTTTTTTTAAATGCCATTAATTATATATGTGTGTAAATATTTACTGATAAAGTCCTCGCATATACAGAATCAGAACAAGAATAAGGCCAAACAACCAGAAATGGTTGAAGATTCTGACCTCTCTGAAGAGGAATTTGAAGACCTTGTCACAAACGAAGATGAACAAAAAGAACAGCCTAAAGATGCTGACGTCGTGGACTCTGATTCAGATCTTAGTGATCCACCGAGTGACGACGAAAACGATGATGCTGCCGTTGAAGAAAAACAAGAAAATAGCAGACTTATGACCATGGAAGTAAACCTTGAATTGACACAATCCTCGCGAAAGCGAGGTGCGGTCGAACTTGAGGCCAAAGAAGGGCCCCAGAAAAGGCAACGTTCGGTGGCTTCGGCTGCCAGTCGTCGTGGTCGTGGTCGCCATTTGAAGTAAGGCAGCAAAAATTATGTTTTGAAAGGTGAAAAAAAGACAATTGGACCCATAAGTTCAATAATAAGCTGAAATTAACATTTAAATAATATAAAAACAAAGTTTCAAAAAAGAGAGCAAACGCGACAGCACACTGTAAAAAAGGATTAATATGGTTATTAGGTTTTTAGGCACAAACTGTATAAAAAAGGAAACATTGATGACGACACACACACAAAAAAAGGTAGCATATTACATAACAATCAATAAACAATAATCCGTTAAGCGGCCACTCGTAAAATCATCACTTTTCCTACTTCACATTATAAAAATTCTTTTTCATTGAGTTTTTAATAATTAATAATGAACGTAGATTGATTGATTATATAGAATTATAAAGAAATAGTTAAATATGCACTAATTCATGTTATAATAGAAAATTATTTTTCTTCGGTTGTATTTGTATATCTAATATTCAGAATTTGATCGTCTCCAATAAATTACTAAAATATCACCAAAAATAATTATTCAACGAATACAAATCGAAAAGAAATTAAGATTTATAATAAAAACGATCAAAATCAAAAGGTACTATATGTATTTAGTGGAATTTATAACTTTTTTTGTTTTTTCTTACAGGTTATTTCTTAACACGAAATAAAAATAAGTTTTAACCAAAAATATCATTTAACAGTATATTTCGTTTTTAAGCGTGAGAAGTACAAGATTATAGGATATTTTAATAACGAACTAAAATTTCTTGAATATTCATCTAATATACGGTCTTTATCATAAAAAAATATTTTTATTTTTGTGATGGAATTCTAAAAAAGGTTGTATTAAAATTAAACTTTAAAAATTACATAGGTTTTTTTTAATTTTGCTAATTTAATTTATTTAAATGATATTATAAATATATACTAACTAGTATTATTATCTAGTAGTTTAATATAATATATTTTTAATTTTAATTAAACAAATTATAAAGTAATAAATAAAACAAATTTCAATTAAGGATAGAGTGTACCATGTAGATCATTTCACAATATGGGTTGTGAGCTAGGAAAATGAGGTTCTGGAACATTTTAACCAAAGTTAAAATTTTTACTTTATATTAATGTT